ACTGCGTGTTTCAATGTTGCTTGTCACATATGAAAGTGATGCCAATGACAGCATCAGTGGGGGCAATCAAGCTGTCCGCCTGGCGGGCAGGCGTGGATGTTAGCTAGCTGTCATCGTAACAGAGGACGCACACACCACAAGAGCACATTTGTCGTTAATGAGATTCATGATACTTACTCTCACCCGCTCTCATGCATTTGGTTGGAATGAATGACAAAATTGACCTTGTGAAGTAAAAGAGGGTGGAAGAAATATGCGCCATAGATGAGGCAGATGATTTACGAAGAGATAAAAATTTGTGAGAGCTGAATATCATAAAAGATTTTTTAAAAACCACTGTGGTAAATTAAATTCAGATGGGAAGCAATAAGTACCAAAGATGTGTTTTTTCCCCCTAAAATAGATATTTTGCTCTGTGAACACATCCATTATCTATACCACTTATACTTTAGCTGTTGTGGGGGCACAGGAGCCAATCCCAGCTGACATTGGATGAGAGGCGGGGCACATCCTGGAGAGGTCGGCAGCATATCGCAGGCCAGACATCAATGAATCAATCTAAATTTGTTTGTATAGCCCATATTCACAAATCACAATTTGCCTCTAGGACTTCACAGGGTTTGACATTGGCTGCCCTTAACCCTCGACGAGGTGAGTAAAAAAAAAACAAAAACAAAAACCCCAAGAAAACTTCAGAGAGACCCACCTGTGAGGGATCCGTCTCCCAGGATGTACAGAAGTGCAATAGATGTCACGTTTAACAGAGCACGTCTCTAAAATAATAATATTTACAACATTGACGAGAAAAGACGGCTTCTAACATGAATGACAGAAGCTCCATGTGTCATGTGTCCCCCGACAATCCAGGCCCATAGCACCAGAGCTAAGTAACATGCAAAGACAATGGTTCACTCTCACATCAACTCCTACCAGCAATTTCCAATTAATCAAATCTACATGTTTTGGACTGTGGGAGGACATGGGACTGAACTCACACAGAGAAACCTCAAAGAGACATAGGGAGAACTTGCAAACTGCACACAGTGAGACCCCAGCCGTTTGAACCCAGAGCGTTTATGCAATGAGTCAACAGTGCTAACCACTGTACCACCGTTCTCCTTTGAAGAAAACCATATTATTAACTTTTCTACTTGAGAATAATTGTGCCGAGTAATTCGTTAGCACTAAATTAATAAATGTCAATAGTGTCACACTGTCTCTCTCTTCTGTTGAAATTAAAATAAACTGAACTGTACTGCTACATTTTCACACATCAAGTTTAATTATGTCTTTAATTGCTGCAAGAACTTATTTTTAAACCCAATATTAATGATTAATGTATTTTTTTTCTTATTTCACAGTGCATTAAACAACTTGTTTGAAAACTGTTGTTAGAGCAATACATCTTAACACAACTTCAGAATTGGACTATTCTTATTTGTTAGAGGGTTTTGTACAAGTATCTGTTGACGTGAGATCAATGTGCAAAGCTTCATTCAGTGGAGAGACTTCTTTGGACTAACACTTGTGTGAGCTGCTTAATTATTTTCAACCAAAAGCACCTACGTGTGCAAAGAGTAGACGATATTATAAGGTCTACATGAAGCTAACACAAGCTATATCCCAAACTGAAATAAAATCTATACATAGAAACACATGTGGGTTAAACCATAAATACAGGACAATATGCAGTATAGGCAGAAAACTAACATGTTCTGCTGCAATTTGTTTAGTCAGAGTTTCAGTTATGCTGATGGAAGAACATCAAGGTTTAAATAACAACTGAGCATGTCTTCGTCCAATTTTGTGCTTCTAAATAAAGAAATCAATTTTGAATTTAGAAATGTACAGCAAACGCCTGAAGCACAAAATCAAAGCAGCCTTCATTCAACAATGTAATTACCTGAATATTGGTTGCCTTGTGCTTCTGGGACATTTTGCTGGGAAAGTAGTCTGTGGCAGTGTTTCCTCTCAGGAAATCAAGTGCAGTGAGTGATAGACTTCTGTAAAAAATACAAGGATTTAGTCACATTACAGCAGAACATCCACACTGTCCAAAATGTTACATCACTCCCCGCACAAGCTCTTTCAAAGTCCCATAAATATGATGTGTTTGGCCTGAGGCTTCGGGGTCTCTTCAATATCCTGCATCACACCTGGGATTTGTGTGTGCGTGTGGACTCGCGTGAAGCCACAGCTCAGCTCTCACATGTTACGGCCTTCCAGTGAGATGCTGGTCGCCTCCTTTTCTAAGAAAGCTGTGAGAGTTCCGGGAATGGAGGTGCAGTTTTTCTGATTAGTTTGATATTTCACTCACTGTAGAGATGTGATAAAGAGAGACGACATAAACTGCATCCAGACAGTTTGTGGATTAGCCTAATGAGTTTTTTTTTTTTCTTTTTGTCAACGCTTGGCATAGGAATCCAGTTTTCTCCAGGCACAAACACACCAGAAGGACTGGAGTTATTTTTAGAGCGGGCCTGTCTGCTGAGACTTTTTGTCTGTGTGATTTAACAGAGGAAATATTGACCGTCTGGAAAATGTACAGAAACCGTTTTATAGAACAGAGTGAGGAAGAATGACAGTTTCACTGCTCCGCTGATGGTCTGTTATTGTCTGGCAAGTGGGAATCACAGACTGGGGGTGTCTGTACATGTGTGCGCACCAGTGCATTTCTAAAATATGCACAGTGCATGTGTCTTTGACTACTTAAGTGTGGTCGTGCCAATTTGAATGTGTGCGTGGAAAATTTGCTCCAGCTCCTTGTTTTCAGCTCCCCAGGGGAGCATGGGAGAGTTAAAGGGATGCATTGGGGGTGAGGGAGTATGCTGGAGGTCTAAAAACACTGGAGATTTATAGTAGGTTGGCCGACTGACTCAAACACAGTCCACAACTACAGACAGCAGTAGTGTATCACACACACGGAGAGTTTAATTAAGTACAAATATAAAATAAAAACACCAAATTACCACAATTTGCCTCGAAAATCATACTCCTTGATTCAAAACCTGATCAAATCAAGGAAATGGATATGATGCATACATTTTTGGATTCTGTGCGACACTTTCACACAATAGAATTAACTTGGATGTTCATGAGGAGTAAACGTCTAGAAAGGGACTGAAAAGGCATACGAGGTCTTATATATCCAGAACCAGTGTGAGAATCATCACGTCTTGAGGTTTCTTTCACTGTCAAAGTAATCCAGTGAATGTGATGTTTACATCCATAGTTAATATTAACTTTTAATGGTGCCATTTGACCAAAATGTAAGTCGTAGCACTCAGCATACCTCACACAAGAATCCACAGCAACATTATACCTCCTGTATGCATCGCCCAAAACTTCTGCTGTAATTCTTAACTAAATAGAACTAAGACAAATAATTTAAGCCCTAAATCTTTAAACGTAAACTCAGAGTATCATCCTGATGTACCCTATAAACCTGCCAGCAACTGATTATGACCCACAATATAGATTATGACCCACAGTATAACAGTCCATGTTAGCGAGAGGTTTTGGGTTTTTGGTTGAGACAAATCAAGGGACATTGGAATGAGTGACTGCCGTTCATTTCCTGTGTGAAACTGATAGTCCCTGTTGTTTTCTTAACACTGTGTTTATTATTGTAACCATGACAACGACGATGGTCCCATAACCTTTAGGAAGTAGGTTTGAACCCAAACAGGATCTTTTTGTAAACTGAACCAAACCATGACCTTACCAGAACCTTAACAGGGTGTTTTCATATCCAAGTGTGTGTGTGTGTGTGTGTGTGTGTCACACAAAGTCAGGAGGTACTGAAAAAATGAATGCATCATTCTGTGGTGGTCAGTGATTACATTGTGGCACTGAGCACAAACAAATAAACATATGGACACAGAGAAACGAAAATTGATTTGATTGTGAAACTTCAGCAGGTCAGAGATGTCAGCGGAGGAGGCAGAGCTCCTTCGTATATGTCACCCAAGATGCATTTGTGTCGAAGTGAAAAGAATGTGGCCACATGCGTTCCAGACCTTCTCTTAATGTGGTTTTCGTGAGCAGATCTCTAGATGCGTTGAGGACACATTTGGGTCTCAGACACCCGAGGGGTGTGTTAATAAAGGCAGAAACTCAGACCCTTGTCAAACATGGTCTAAACTGTTTTTGTTAAATTATTGCTGTGACAGTTACTTTCTCCTCTGACTGGAAGCCTCGCTCCACAGCCTTTGAGTCCCAGATCATCTGATGCTTTAACGCAGCATTTCATTTTTGTTTGGGTTGGCTATGCTGCCAGAAATGGCCTCCTCTCTGCTTAGTCTGTCTCCCTGCCTCTCTTCTTGTGAATCCTCAGGATGCACACACGCAGCTCAGTTTGGATTACCTGTTGTTTTGCAGACATATAAAATAGGCAGCCTGTTGTAGAGAGGTGCAGGTAAATAGAAAATGTTCTTGCTTCTGCTTGGATTGTTTGGGAGAGAATGGAGTTGTGTAGTTTAAGTTAACAGAAAAGCTGTTATAGTTACAGTATCAATGATCCTATATATGCACACAGTGTATCTACAAAATATAAATGTTGTGTTAATGCACCAGTTAGGAAAAGACAACGCATCATAAGATTGATGTAACCTCACTATCCCTCTGGCATTATTATGCTCAGAGTCATGTGGCTGATATGAAGTCAGTATTGATTACAACACAGTGCTGCTCAGCTGCGCTCTCTTGGGAGGATAATAAAAGTATGACAATGATGTTTTGTATGTGGAGTTCATATCGTGTCTGGCAAATCAACAACCAATTTTGCTCCATTTTCTTTTTCAAATTTGGTTTAGTGCCAGTCTAAAATGGTTTTATTACAGTCTGTGCTGCAATATGTTTGGCTGCTGTACAGCTGTCATTACAATTTATCAATATCACTTTCATTCTCTCATTCCTTGTGCGTACTGCCTGTTTCTGTCTGCTTCTCACTATCGTCCGAATTGAACTATAATTCTTGTTCCACCTCTGTTTCCCGACAGGAACCCTGTGGAATCTGTCGTCCTATGAACCCCTGAAGATGGTGATCATCAACCACGGCCTGCAGACTGTGACCAACGAGGTCATTATTCCCCACTCAGGGTGGGAGCACGAGCCCAACGAGGACTCGAAGCCGCGCGATGCAGAGTGGACCACCGTCTTCAAGAACACCTCCGGCTGCCTCAGGTTGGTTTAGTTTAAAGGTATTTCATAAATCTATTAATAGAGTCTTAACAAGGTTTGATTTAGCATTTATTTATTCATTAGCCAGTATTGTTTACATCTTAAGTCGTGGATATTTGAGAGATGTATTACAGGCAGGGAAAGTTGAGAAATCAGATAAATTCGGTGGAGAAATAAAAAAGTACCTTGTATGAGGTTATGTTTTCATTGCGGTTTGTCTGTTAGCAGGTTTAAAAAAACTTCTAAACTGATTTTTTTGAAACTTGGTGGAAAGGTGGTTTAGGGTTGTGCCAAGGAATAACCTATTCCCTTTTGGAGTGGATTTGGTTAAAGGCATTTTCTGAGCTATACTCTCGCCAAGCAATCAGGATTTGATTACTTTTTGGAATAATTGACAATTAGGTCTACATCTCTGGATTGATGGTTGGATAAAACAAACTGTTTAACTATTTCACATTACGCTTCAAAAAAATTTAAGTAATCATTTTTTATTATTCTCTTGCAATTTGCAGCCAAATAGATTAATTGATCAATTATACTCTTGAGTTTCTGTGTTTAATATTCTAGGGTCTAATCCTGACTCTGAAAAATACCTTGAGGAAAAGAATATTACGATTTGGTGCTATATTGTAAAATTGACAAAATAAATGATAATGAAAATAATCATTAGTCTCAGCCCTGCACAGAATGTGCCCTGATTATGACATTTTACAGTTTCAGTCTACACTGGGAATTTCAACAAAAAAGCACATAAATTATCAATTTACACAAGAAGTTCAACATATATCTTCAAATAACAGGTATGAAAAAGTATTGGCTGCCTTTATTACACAGATGTCAACCTGTCTACTGGACATCAGGCTGTTGGACAAAGCTACTTTTAAAACAGGAAGGACCCAGACAGATATTAGGCTAAATTGTAGAGACAGGTGGACGATTTATTGAGGTTAAAGTTTATTCTACTTTACAGAGATCATCCTGGAGTTTATAGTTGAGAGCTTGAACACACAAATGGTCTTTAAAGAGTGTTTTCACTGTGATAGCAGTTGTAGCGGGGGACAGGTGTGACATATATGAGACTGTATCTCTTAACCGTGAGACAGTGTCACATTTCTGAAATATGTCAGATGCACAGTTCTTCCTGTCATGTTGTGTATGTGTGGTTGGTTTTCTGGATGACTCATAAAACTGTTTATGACATTAGTAAATGTCTCTCTGCGTTACTCTGTGACACCTCCATCATGGGGCCAATGAGCAACATTAGCTGCAAGCTAAGTAACAATTAAATAATCACACAAATGACTTCAGTCTCAAGCTTGTTGAGGGTAAGTGAAGATAATTTGAGTCCACAGAGCAAATTATTGCCTCATGACTCGTCAGTATATTTGTTTAGTATTTTAGGATTGTGCTCTTCTTCTTGTTGCTAAGACGACATCCAAACATTGACCGGGATGAGAATCATTAACCTCTGAGTGAGCTACAGTCATCCCATCACTGAACCTCAAATGACTGTGTCACACTCTTCTGTTCTCAATGACAGTATCTAAAACCTTCAGTTGTGTTTAGGTCAGACATCCACAATGGTGTAAACCTCTCCATCGACATACCTCGCTGTTAAAGTGGTGTGACTCGCGTGGCCTTTCAGGCGACCCTTTCCAGTCCATTTATTTTAAAACCGAAGGTCTGCTGAAGGGCTGTCGTCTGAGATAATAGCTGGAATTGACCTTCGCCTAAACCCCGTACATACACATACTGTGAAAGAAGACAGCAATTGTTCAGGCACTGATGCTCTTTGCACACCGGTCACACTGCACTTGGCTGAAATAAGAGAGGAACCATGCATTGTAATTGTTCAGCCTGAACCTTTTTGCATGCAGGAAAGTGCTGCCCTGCTGCAGTATACTGCCCTGCAGATCTACATCAGTATATATTATTAGGTTCATCAGTTTACAAGTAAAAACTGCTCCAATTAAGAGTGAAAACTAAAGAATACAAATAATAAAACTTATAACTGTATAGCAGTCATCTAAAAAAGGTTACAAAGTGATATCTGGTGATAACAGGACAAAGGAAAACAAAAAGATGAAAATCAGGTATTAAAAGGCTTTCACTTTAAACTTTGTTTATGGAATGATTTAAAAAAAAGAAGTAAATGGTGACAAGTCTATTCTGCTTAGAGCCTCTGTGCCCTGATGGCAAAAGCCTGGTCACCCTGAGTTACCAGCCTCGACCTAGGACAGACACCAGCAAGTGCTTTTTGGAAGATCTTAGATCACAGCGTGAAGCACATGGATCTGGCGGCTCTGTAATATAACTGTTCAGCTTCAGCTTCACTGCGCATCTGTCAAATATGTCACAAAATATAACACTTCCTGAACCCTTTCAAATTAAAAGCAGTCTCGCATTTCTGTAGATTGAATCGATTTGTTTGTTTTAAGAAGGTTATTGCAGGACCAGAAGATGCATGTTTTCATACTGTAGATTTCTGGCATTAATATGTATGTATAGCTAGACTTTTACTCAAGGAAATACAGTAATCATACCAGAAACGTCACATTGCAGCTCTGCTGCAGTAGCAGACGTGCTCCCTGTGTGAACAACAGACGACCACGACATGCAGCAGATCAGCGGCGCAGTTGTCATGCACCGCTCTCACAGGCAGTGTGCCCTGGGTGAAAGGAAGCTGAATAAGATCAAACGTCCTTTCCTCTATTTATCGATTTCTTTTCTTCCAATACCATCAGGACATTTCAATGTTCCCCTATTGGTGCTGTGAGTTTACCCATGAGCACCACTGAGTTCTCAAAGCATCTGCGACTGTGTTAATGACGCTTCGTTTAGACTTTGTGTGGTCACTTTATTTTCTTTATGTCCAAAACAAAAACATAACATCATTTTTGTCATCATAGGTTTGCAATATGCAGAATTTCATCCATCCATTCATTATCAATACCGATTTTTAGGGTCACTTTTGGGCTAGAGGTGGGGTTCACCCTGGGTTCACAGGTGGCCAGCGTATCACGGGGCCAACTTACAGAGACAAAGTGTGGAAATGTGCTTGTAATTTTAGAACATTTTCTGCTGAGTTGAAGTTCAGCATTAACAAACTGAGAGGGAATATTTGATAACGCTCTGATATAACTGAGGAAAGTCAAAAAGAAGTTGTGGAATTATACATCAGGGCCACAGTGGGAAACCTGCTCTCCCAGCCTCTCTCTCCTTGTTTCTCTCATTACGTCTTTCATTATCTGTCACACTCTCCGTCTTTCTTTTTGTGCGCTTCGACGGGATGCTTTTCACCTATATTCCCCCAAACACTGAATCCGAACGTCATCACCTCTGAAGTCTCATCTCAGTGCTGACACACATCACAAAATCTCTCTACTGCTCTCATCCTCTCAACCCTTGATGCAGGCACTGCTGACGAGAGTGCGTCTCCATGGTAACTGTAACCAAGCCCGCTGTTGCTTAGACTCAGGGTTTGGTTTGTACACTGGGGAGAAAGCGCTGATGCCAAAGAGAATCTGTTTACTTGTGCCAACAGAGACACAGTTTACACCTCAATAAAGGCACGGATAGTTTCATTGGAAAGGTCCCCACTGTCGATAGAGGCCAGTTTATTTACAGTGTTTACCCTGTGGGCTCAGTGGAAGGAAATGTTTGTGTGTACGTGTTCGAGCGTGTGTTGGGATGGAGTCAAACACCCAGGTTGTCTTTTCAGGAGCATAGATTTTTAATAAATGTGCTGTGACTCAATTATCAACTGCTGCGTTTCCATGTGCATCAGTGCTTGCACATGTGTAGTGTCCATGAGATGTCAGCTATGCCTGATCAGAGCTAAGGTTTACTGGTGTGTAGCATTTTAACAGAAGATGAGAATAATTTAGGGGCATTAAATCACTGCACAAAAATTATATAATTCGATATGAGAGGGAATCTATCAAACGTGACAGGAAAGTCCTTGTTAATGCTACAGAATCACACATTACCACATGTTAAGACGTCCATCTGCAAACACATCCAGATGGAAATACAGTAGCTGCTTTCAGACAGGCACTGAAGTCTGGAAAGTGGCCGGAGGCGTTATGTTTTCCAGTCAGTCCGTCACGTTGCCGCGAATGCGATATCTCAACAATGCCTTGTGGAAATTGTGGCAATGTTGATCTTTCTGTCTGTGACATTTGGTACACATATCCAGTTTACAGTGTGATCCCCTGACTTTTCTTAGAGCACTTTAGTTCACTTCTTTATTCAACCACCGTGTTTAAGAAAAGAAAACATTATTTTCTCATATGATATGAGAAGGATCTGAACAAGAATAAGAAATGAAGGCAGAATCAATACCAACCCCTCGGGTAAGCATATGGTCTCTCAGTGTTGCCGTTGACCTTGCGGTGCGATAGCAGAGGTCAGCCGCGTCTCCATCCATCTCAATCAGTCTCCATCAGTCCTGCTCCAGTCTATTCCTCCCAGCTGCTCTATTGTCCTCTGATGGCCACATGACTCTGAGTGACCTTCACACCCACACCTCATCTGATAAAGCAGAGACACTATAGACACATTCAGATCGCAGTGACAGGCTGTTAGTGTTTGTGCAGATACAGACGGACCTCTGAATGTGCAACTGCACGTATTCTCTTCTCACAACCATCGCTAGTCCAAAAATAATGAGGCAAGAAATGTTGTAAAGCCAAAAAAAATAGCTTTAGTTAGTTTCTCTTTCTGTCATTAGAGAGAAAGACAGAAAATTGTCTAAAAACTTTTTCTTTTACAAGGATCTAACTATTTGCTGGTTAATGATAAAAGTACATGTGCTTTCAAGGAAATATGTCCTTCTGTTTCTGCACTTGGATACCACAGAAAAGAGAATGCCCTAGTTTCTCTTAAAACTGTCTTTTCATGGTATTTCGTCATTTCCAAAGTTATCTGCTGTTTTTGAATCTGAAACTGTGACAGTGAAGTCCACAAGTACTGGAGATGTTAGCCTTGAATGCTCAAATCAGATAAATGACAGAGGAGTCAATTGGTAACACAATACTTGAAGTAACTAAACACTAGGTGGAAAACACAATCAATGCATGATGTGCTGTAAGTGTGTCGTTCATCACAAAAGCGACATTAGTTTCAATAGACAATCACATTTATCCAATTTGCACAATTTTTTTTGCTCATCTGCACGTCAACATAACTTATACTGCACATGTCTTCTTCACGTGCTTTAAGACACTTAATTTGCCTTGATATAATAAGATGAGAATGCAAACAGCTCAGCTCTCCAGGTTTGATAACATTAGCGGTTTACTCTCCTGGAGAGGAAGTGCAGCATTACAACAACAGATGGTACACTGCTGGTGTATCAGTAATCATCAGTATCTATAGACCTCGGCCAACACTAAAAACCGAATACTACACCAACTTGTCAAGACACAACCGCTGCTTCTTTAAATGTCTGCACTGACAGACTCACCGTCCATAAACCCTCCACAAAGACAACTGCTCCCCTGAAATGAAACAGCTGACAGTAAAATTCTTCTGTCAGTCTGCCCCCATAACACATCCTGTCAAATAAATCCAAGGCGGCGCTCCTCTGGATCACTTTAAAGGGAAGGTGGTGCCCATTTTTTAACAGCTGAAGACGGATGGGTTTGGTTTATGAGTGTGTACAGATGGCCTGTGCCGTCTGCCAGGTCTCCACAGAATATGAGTTTTAATTAGCAGGAGCTGTAGGTTGGTTATATTCCACTAGTTAAACTAGTATGGATTTCTGGGGGCTGATGCTGATAAAGTTTCTGAAAAAGACAGATTAGCTCATAAACAATTGGCAATGATTCTCAAGATGTCATTATCAAACCCTCATGAAAAAAAAAAGTGAGCTTAACGATAAACTTTCTTAAAGTAGTTTATAAATGAAATGACAACAAATGCAACCAAATATATAGAACTTCACTAAAGAAGATCACATGTGAACATAGATACACATCTTTACTGCACCGTTCTAGTAAAATATATGTTTTCCTGTCTGTACATATATTATATATAAATGTTGATACTGACATGTCATTTAGGCGTTTTTTATCAGCCAACCGATAAACTGATGTGACTGTAGTCTCCACTTCATAGACAAAAGGCAGAAATACTTAAACCAAGAAGATGACAAGTTGTTAAGTAAGAGAGATACAGTATTTCTATGTGTATTTAGAGTTTTATTTGTCAATAGGTGGCCTTGTATATCCCTTTGTATATGTAAAATAATAATGAGTGCAGACTGAAGGATTATTCTAATGTTCTTTAAGTATAGTGCAGTATGGCTGTGCAGTTGTGCGCTTTGTTGTTGAAGCGAGTCATCAACGTGTGTGACAGTGTTGGATGTGATATGTGTTACAGTCCACACAGCACTATACAGTTAATACAGTGCTGTGCTTACCTCTGCAAGGCTGCCACTCTTCCACAGGACTAACTGGGGGTCGGCTAATGGGATTATGTGGGTTGGAAGCCCTCATAAATGAAGTCCCTGGTGAGGAGCGGGGAGCCCCAGCTTTCCCTTAACCCTCTTTAAAGCCTCGCCTTTCACAGTCAGTCAGGCAGCCGCACTAAGACTGCAGCAGCTCTGCTGTGCTCAGGGCGCTGGCTGATGTAACACACATGGCATTTCCCTTCATACCAAAGATGAAATTTATGTTCATCATTTTCATTCCTAGATTATTTCTAAAGTAGTCAGGATTTCTTTCATTATACTTAAAAGGGAAAAAAACAGGATACAGGACATGGGTCACATGCAAACCCACTAAATCACATTGTGGGTTTAGACTTACATGTATATCTGACTTTTTTATCTGCTGTTCATTGGCAACCATTCTATATACTTGCCATTTTACTCTTGCTCTCTTGAGAATCCCTAAACCTGAGATGATAATAATGTAATATGCAAATTATGGATTTTTATATTTCGTTGATTTTATACCTTGTATGATTGTAATGATAATGAATTAACCTTGAACTGAAATTAAATTGCCATTATACATAAAGTAATAGTAACAGTAGTTGTTGTAGGAACAACAATACTACTCGGAGTCATTGTAATTTGAGTGGAAAATGGAAAATTACAGTGTGCATTGCCAGATTTGAAGGGTTTATTGTTTAAATATAAGATAATGTTTTGAATATTGACTTTTGAAAACTGCAGTTTAATATATCAATAGAAACTAAAATACCACAGTATATTTTACTGTATATACGGTATATATGTATGTTGCTTTTGTTTTTAATTAATTTGATTGCTTGGTATTATTGTGTAATATTTGCTTCTGTTTTAATTTGCCAATTTTTATTTTTTTGTTTCTTTACTTTGTCGTAAAGCACATTGAACTACAACCCCATATAGAAGGGGCTGTATTATTAAGTTTGTTGCTATTAATACCATTATTAATGTTATTGTATACTTGACAAAAGTCAGAATGGTAAACACAAAACTTCCCTAAAGTCTTCCTAAAGTGTTAATGTTGTGCTTCACACTGCGTGTGTTTGTGACTTCTCTAGAAATGTCAGCTCAGATGGAGCAGAGGCTCGGCGCAGACTGAGAGAATGTGACGGATTGGTGGACGCCCTGCTGCACGCTCTCCAATCAGCTGTAGGGAAGAAGGACATGGACAATAAGGTAAGACAGCGTATGATTCATCCACTAAAACTGATGCCATTTAATATTAAGGCTGCATACAGCTGTACAGTACATGGTCTCTGTTCTGAGTCTTTTCTATAGAAATGACTGACGTCATGTTACCACACATGCAGTTTTACTTTTAACTTCCCTGCGTCTTTTTTCTCCTAGTCCGTGGAGAACTGTGTTTGTATTATGAGGAACCTGTCCTACCATGTCCACAAAGAGGTGCCAGGCGCTGAACAGTTCCAGGACCCATCAGCACCGCAGGCCCCCGGCTCAGCGGGACCGCAGAGGAAGAAGAAGGATGATGCAGGCTGCTTTGGAGGCAAGAAGGCCAAAGGTGGGAATGAGTGAGGAGGGAGACACAAGAAACAGAATCACCATTAATCACTATCATTCGTTCATAAAACTCCAAAGTGAGATTTCTCTCTCTCCAATAATACACATTTTTAAAGTTGTAGAAAATGTTTGAATGGTGACTTTCAATTGTGCAACAGGCAACTTTGGACCAATTAGAAAAAAAACAATACAAGTTCTTATTTATGGCTAAAATGATTTGCAAATGGTTGCAAATGTTTCATTATCCTTATTTTCCTAGTGTTAACCTTTTGAACACTGTAAGATGTAAAGACAGTAGAGCGATATTGAAACAGCAAGACTACATAGACATTAGGGTTGGGCGATAGGACTTCTTGATATTGACAAATCAGTATCCAGATTATTTCAAAGTTTTACCTCGATTAAGATTAATGAACAATTATTTTATTGCATTATGTAATGAGAAAGTGCCAGAAATAACAAAAACCTCACTGTAGCTCCCGGAGCAAACTCTCAATGTTCCTCTCTGGTATTTTACAGATTGTTGAAGTATCGCCACCTAGTGGTCAGGAATAAATTTATCACAATATCATATTTATTCCACAATAACTATAAATTGCCCGAGGTTATACTTGGGTTTTGGAACAGGTTGTAAAATACATACAGTTCTGAGGAAAGGCTTCTCATAATCAAATCTTTACATCGAGCTCCCTCTCTTTCAGAGCCCGGTGAAGCTACATCTCAGATTGTTTTGTGAGTGCAGACATTGAAGATGAGGCAGTCCACTGTGTAACTGTGACCTCTAACCTTCAATATGTTGTTAAATGACTTACATAATTGATGTCTATCAAGTTGCCGTCTGCTGCGCCAGGAGGATTTTGTCTTTGCCCACTCTACTTAACAGATGTGCCGTTAGCTGCGTCTTAATCGGCATCCTCCCAGGCTGTTAGCTAAACGACACTGTTATCGCCCCGCTGTAAAACAATAATGGCTACTATTAATCAGTCGGCCAATGAGGTGGGACTACCCGCCATTGACCCTTGACTTCTAACGCCTCACTGGAGAATCCTTGGGTTCAGGGGGTCAGGGACAACACAGGAGCTTACATGTATACAGATTTATAAAGAACCCAATTAACCGCGTGAATACTCTCAGAGCTGTGCACTGTGTTGAGCTGCTGCACACCCTGAAGGTATTCTGTGAGGGAAGAGGCTCAGGTATAGAAACATTAGACGCAGCTATAAAGGAGCGTGGAGGCAGGTAGTTAAGCAACACCGTCGGCAGTAGTCTGGGTAATTTGTTACCTTAAGTAGGCTATGTTTGGCCTGCTCTTCAGTTTAATGCCACTTTGAGTGTAAAGCACAACATTATGATCAACACACGCTCATGCTTTGTTTTAGCTAATAAACAGTCTGACTTGTTTTTTCTTTGAGCACGTCTCTGCCCACGCAGTAATCATAATGAACACACACAAGAACACATTTCTATGTGGATGTTTCACTGTTCCTCTCTGTTCTGCCCGTCTAGATCAAACTGGATGCTAATTCCACTCTTTTCCAGTCTTTCCCTTATTTCTACTTTTTTATTCTCCTTCTTTCTCCCTTACTAGCCTCTCTTCATATTTCTGACTGTTCTTCCGTTCTCTCTAAAAAATCCATCCTATTGATGCCAACTCTTTGAACATGCCTCTCAGAAAACACCTATGGACTGCTAATGGCTTCTCGTCTCTTCTCAAAAGTACTCTTTGCCTTTTCCTCTCTTCGCTTTCGGAAATTCTCTCTGTCTGCCTTTTTCTCCTTTCCTTTCACCCTTTCCACCCCTCCATATTCAGTAAAATATGACTTTTTTGTGGATAACTCTTCACATATATTGCACAGCTTCTTCTTTAGCACACACATCTTTTTTTACCATGCCTCTTCTCTCTTCTCCCTGCTTTGTGTTTTTTGGCATTGCTGCTGCTTCCTTGGCTAACTATAGAGGAATGGTTTAATCAAGGTGAGTGGACCTCCTTCAACCCTTCTCACTTCAGTTCTCCTCCTCTCCATCCTTCCTCCCCTCGCTCTGCCTCCTCCTCCTCTCCCCGTGTGGTAGAATATAGTTAGAAGTAGGTTTGGGTGTCCTCCAAAAACCCGAAAAACTTGCAAGGACTTCCGAAACTTGGGTTTTTCACTCATTCCACATACATTCCCTCACCATACCCACCTACTGTACCGTAGCACTGAGCGATTATAGACTCCCACATCTCCAATCTTCACAGTTCATTAGCGTTAGTTGTTCCTTAGTCTTTGAAAGTAAATGAAGGGTAAAGCGTGCTTGGTAAAAGAGGTAAGTCCATTTGTCAGGAGGTAAGTAGAGCTTGACTAATCAAACCAATCAAATATGCAGTAATAGAGTTGAAATTAAAACTTGAAATCTGAACCCCAAAGTTTGTATTTGTTATGACTCTATGTGTGATTGAACTGAGCCTTTTAGACTGAAGATAAAACTAATCCCAAACAGTGCTGAAAAACTGCTGCTGACTGTATCCAACCAGAGCCCTTCATCTCTGATCCCTTTGTGTTGTATTTAAGCATAAATGTCAAGCTCTGCTGCAGGCCCTGCCAGTGTGTGTGTGTGTGTGTGTGTGTGTGTGTGTGTGTGTGTGTGTTTGTCACACCTCACTATGCTCAAAATTTGAGGTTTTCCCTGCAAACATTTAAAGTTGTTCGTGTTATACTCAACAAAAAGTTCTTCACTAGTTGAAAAGGTCCTCTAGTGAAATAGTTTCACATTTTGGGGAATGCTCTGAAGTGCTCGTTCATGGTGAAAGTTGTGTGAGCATTTTTTTCACTCATGTTGTGTACAGTGTGTACATCAACAATAAAGCTGAGTCTGAATCTAATTAGCTTAGCCTCTCTTAAGCTACATCCATAATACATTATTATTTAAAAATGCATCAACCCTGTTACAGACATGCCGAGCGTCCACACTGCTTCAGTTTCAGTCAGAAACAGGTTTGGAAACGCCACTGGACCATTTTAGTTTGAGAACTCTGGTACAGTGTTTTAGTCTAGCTGAACAGAAACAGAGATGTTTGAACACAATGCTGTAGACACTCTGCTTAATGGGGCTTTTTGGTCATAACGTAGCCTTTGCTCATTGATTAGGCTCTTTTCACATGACCTGCTTCAGGAGGAAAAAAACAACTGGCATTAGTGTTAGTGTAGAATTCAACATGGATCATCTATTACAAGTGCTGCTGACATTCTTTGCTAACAGCTGTTGTGCAGTTAAATTATGCATTTTACTATGATACAAGTATTTACATGAGTAGGAGACAAGCTATTATTGAGAAATCGGTGACAATCCTTGTGTATATGTTACTGGTCACGTGATTTGCACTTTCAGGCGTTTAAGTATGAATGGAGATTAAAACTGACATGGAGCCAAAACACTCACATGGACAGAGATTGTTTTCAAGTCGAATGAAGTGGTATGGATGTAGTCTAAAGAATGGAGGTGGTATGAGCAGCTGTCCTGCAGCTGTAGACTTGCCAGTTACTTGTGGACAGAGTCGGAGTAGCTGTTCCCTCCTGCCGCAATGCCTTCAGACTTTGTTCAGGTTGTACTCACTGAAAAAAAGAAACGAAATAGCGTGTAACAAAAGCTCAGCTTCATTTGTTTGCTTTTTTTGGACCTGCACCTGTACCTAACTGAGGCTGGACCCAGTAAAATGTTTTTAGCTCCTGCACAGTTTATTATTATTGTTATTTTCTGCTTGTTACAGTATTGGTATCTGCTTTCTGACCAGGGGAAAGCATAACCACCCTTTGAGGCCCATAGTGCACATACGTTAGAACCAAAAAAATAATAACGCAAAATGAACACTATAGAATGATTCCTAATTCAGATTCAGCTATAATATTAATGAAGCATTGATCTATTATAAATCTTTTCACTGGAGGACGGCACTAATGAACTGATACCTCACTTTACATTCAAATACTAATTCTGAATCCTTGATTCAGGCAACTTAAATGTATGAGTTTGTTTCCTGAAGGGAAGTGGGGGCTCATCACTTTCATCTTACCTGAACTTCAGTGCAGATAAATTCCACTTCTGTCTCGTTGAGGGCTCGGCCTTTATGTCTGTGTACCTCTTTCCTGTCCCGTGGGAATGTTCATGTGCATGTAAGATGACCATTAGCTGCTGGTGCTCCAGTCAACCCACCGTCCCCCATTCCATTTACCCTCAGACAGTCACTGCATTATTCAAAGTATTTTATCCATCATACACATTATAAAAGTGTTTGTATGAGTGTGGAGAGAAAGTGTGTATATATACTCTATGTGTGTACAGTCTTGTGCTCATAGTGTGTTTTTATCACCAGGGCAGAAGATGGTGTGTTTTCTGTGTGTTTGTTCATGCCATGTTTTAGCTGTCTGTGTTGTGTATACATACAATTGTTCATGCTTTATAGTTGATGGATGTGTAGTACAGTCCTGGATTAGACCGATATGTAACATTCATAATCTAACTATATAGTTTTATTTGTAAAGTTGATACTATTTAAAATGATATTATTTTTCATTTACTATAATAAAAATACCTTTACGATTCAAAAGCAATGACATCAGCCTTCTAAATCCATGTCGGTCTAACCCCGGTATCTACAACATTCTCCCTTACAGTCCAGTTGTCTCACGAAACAACACTGACATCGTCTTCCCTGCTCTCTCTCTCTTACCCAGGTAAAAAGAATGGTGAGAACGACAAAAACTACGACACGTTGGATCTGCCGAAGCGCACAGAGCCGTCAAAAGGTAGGCGCTCGTCTGGCAGGCAACACGTCCCCCTGTTAACGCTCTCACTGCTGGGGGAGGATATTATAGAGGAGAGTGAGTCTGGAAGTGACTCCAGTGAGTTAGATGTCGTTCTGTAGAGGAAGACAGAAGGTGGAGACATGAGTGTGATGTGTTTCATTGAGGCTCAGCTGTGTTGGTGTGGGAGGCCTTTGACAGAACAGGTTTGTTCATTTAGCTGTGTTTGATGATTGTGCTTCTGTTTAAGCCATGTGAGTTGATTACTACACATCTAATATCTCAGGGTGCTTGGGTGATATTTTGAAGATTTCCACGATGTGACATTTTATGAACTTAGCAGTTGATTTATTGATTAGTCAAGAAAAAAAATGAGAGGAAAAGTCTTATAGTGGCTAACCTGTCATAGCTGATGCTAAAAGAGGAAACAGCAAATCAGACTTTCTCTTCAAGCACCTCTACTGCTCATCATATCTATTGTATTAAGAGGCGCACACACTCCAGGCAATTCAAGATGCAGCAACACACACTTGGTGTTTATGTTAAACTAGTGTTGATTCCAGGGACTTGGACTCATGAAACTACAGAAGTTGCGTGATCAGATGTGACTTCAGACCCAAACAAATTTGTATATGCCAAACAACATTCAATGTATTTTATTAAGTTTATAAAGCCAAATCTTTTCAATCTTTTGTTTCTTAGTAAACAATTTATATTTTGACATTTTAAATTGAAATAATTTAGCTTGTCCTGTATTGAACATAAAATATTGCTGCTGCCTCTTCAGTATAAATTCTCTCCTCTAAATTTCTGCAAGAATGTGATTTCCCAGAATGCTGAACTGTTCCTTTAATAGATAATGAAATCAGTTGTTAGTTACAGCACCATTTGGGATATTGACAGAAATCATGATGAAGTGAAGTTCCTGTAAATGGAGAAGACAGAAATATTCAAACAGGGTTTATTAAGTATGGATTAGCCAGAAAGGGGTGTTTGTGTTTGACTTATTTTGTTAGAAATTAATATTTTGCAACACATTGATTTAAAAATCCTACAAATATAATTATCCCATGATGACTGCTTATTGATTTTGGTTCTTCACTTTGCAAAGATTAGACATAGATTGGTGTAAAAGAAAAGAAAAAGACAAAATCACATAGAAGAAAATGCATATCAACTCACAGCATTTGGTTACTTGTCATATTGCACAACAATCCATAGTGCTGTATCTGCAGCACTGATTTAATTTTGTTACATTATGGTGAAGCAGTGACACAGAAACCTCTGCTTTCCTTTCCTCTCCTACATCGTCTCCTCTCTTCTATTCCGACTGAAGTGCATCCATATGGTAATAGAATGTGTATTTGCTTTTTTTTAGTACTTTCTTGTAGGTCTGTGTGTGTGTGTGTGTGTGTGCGCGTGTGTGATGTCCATCTCTCGTGGTGTCTCTTGAATTTGCCTGCACTTTTTACACACTCTTACGTGGCATTTGCACATCAGCACCTTCATCAGTGTCTAGTGGCAGCCACTCAAAGTCAATATCACTTCCTCTTTGCCTGTTAATTAGCCAAATTAACATGGCAAAGTGGGCTGTCATTAAACTAGATCACAATTAATTGCTGTGCTTTTCCAAGTTAATCCGATTTTGCTTTTTTCCTTTCATTCCTAAAGTGAAGGGAAGCAGACAAGCTCCAGGGATGATAATTAATATTTTCCACTCACTGGGTTTTCATGGACAAAAGCCAAGCTGGCATGCAGATCTATAGCGGTTACAACTGTGGTACGATTACGTTACACAATGTGCAAACAGCACCCTTCAGAGTTTAGAATCCAGAGCAAACAATTATTGTTATAGACCTAAATGTCATACACAGTTAAAATATGTGAGCAGGTTCACGGTGTAGTGAGCACTCTGCGTTTTTTTATCCTCTCAGACTGACAAATCATATTCTACGTTAGCTCGACACGCAGGTGAATCACAACAGTTAGATTGCACGGATAATAAGCTTGATCATCAGAGCACATTTATCACTGTTTCCTCTTCAGGACACATCAGAGTCATCTGGGTGCTGTTTGTTTGTCTATGAAAATGTATGTTTGTGTGGGTTCAGGCACGTACTCCTCCCTCCACCACCACTGCCACCATGTGCCCTCAGAGTTTGCAGAGAGAGAGAGAGAGAGGGAGAGAGGGAGGCTCTCATTGGGTGGCGATGGCTAAGGGAGATATGGGAGATTACATGTGTATCCTGGTCCTGATCTGATGTCAGACAGAGAGAGGTGAACACTGGGACCAGGCTAGCCCTCGCAGTAGGCAGTCATTAATCAATGTGAGCGTGTGTGAGCGTGTGTGAGCGTGTG